TTCATTTATTTCTGCTTTGGTTTTTATTATTTCTTTTCTTCTACTGGTTCTGGGGTTTTTTTGTTGTTCTTTTTCTAGATCTTTGAGCTTCGAGATTAGGTTGTTTCTTTGAGTTCTTTCTTCTTTTTTGATGTGAGCTTCTATTGCTATATATTTTCCTCTTATTACTGCTTTTGCTGCATCCCATACATTTAGGATATTGGTGTCCTCTTGTCATTCAATTCAAAGAATTTTTTAATTTCTTCTTTGATCTCCTCGTTAGTCCAGTGGTCTTCCAGTAGTGTGGCTTTTAATCTCCATGAGGTAGGATAGTTCCTTGCCTTCTTTTTATGATTTATTTCTAGTTTGATGCCTTCGTGGTCAGAAAAGATGGTTGGTATGATTTCAATCTTGGTGTATCTGTTGATGTTTGTCTTGTGCCCCAGCATGTGATCGATCCTGGAGAATGATCCGTGTGCGCTTGAGAAAAATGTGTACTCCGTTTTTTTTGGGTTTAGTGTTCTATAGATGTCTGTTAAGCCCAAATGCTCTAGGTCCTTATTTAGAGCTTTAGTTTCTTTACTTATTTTTTGTCTTGTTGATCTATCCATTGTTGATAGTGGTGTGTTGAAGTCTCCCACTACGTATGTGTTTTCTCTGATGTCTGTTTTCAGAGAGGACAACAGTTGTCTGATATATTTTGGTGCTCTTTTGTTTGGTGAGTATATGTTAATGAGTGTTATTTCTTCTTGAAGTATTGTCCCCTTAATCATAATGTAGTGACCATTGGGGTCTCTTTTTATTTTTTTGAGTTTGAAGTCTGTTTTATCTGATATAAGTATAGCTGTTCCTGCTTTCTTTTTTGGCCCATTTGCTTGTAGGATTGTTTTCCATCCTTTGACTTTGAGCCTATTTTTATCTTTTGTAGCTAAATGTGTTTCCTGGAGACAGCAAAAGGTTGGGTTTTGTTTCTTAATCCAGGCTGCAACTCTGTGTCTTTTTATTGAAGAGTTTAGTCCATTTACATTTAGAGTTAATATTGATATGTTAGCATCTGTATTTGCCATTATGTTTGTCTTTCCTTTGCTTTTATTTATTCTTTTAATAACTTTTTTTTTTTTTTGGTCTTCTTTCATTGTTATTCGTCCCTCTGAGGTTCTGGCTTTAGGATTCCTTGTAGTATTTTTTGGAGTGGGGGTTTATTCGTAATGAAATTCCGGAGTTTCTCTTTGTCTGGGAAGGTCCATATTCTTTCTTCATGGAGGAAAGAGAGCTTTGCGGGATAGAGTATTCTTGGTTGGCATCTGTTTTCTTGGAGTCTGTTGACTATGTCCCTCCACTCTCTCCTTGCCCGTAGTGTTTCTTCTGAGAAGTCTGATGTCAGCCTGATTGGTTTTCCTTTGAATGTTATCTGTTTCTTCCCTCTTGTCAGCTTCATTATTTTTTCCTTGTCCTGGATTCTTGGGAGCTTTACTATTATGTGTCTTGCTGTGTTTTTCCTTTCGTCGTGGAAGTTTGGTGTTCTTCTTGCTTCTTGTATATCAATTTTCAGCTCCTTCTTCTCATTTGGGAAGTTCTCTTCAATTATATCCATGAATATTTTCTCTGTTCCTACATCTCTCTCCTCTCCTTCTGGAATTCCTATAACTCTTATATTTCCTTTCCTCATGGAGTCAGATAGTTCCCGAAGTCTTTCTTCATTCTTTTTCCTTCGTACTTCTCTTTCCTTTTCTGTTTTGGTTCTTTTTATTTCTGTGTCTTCAAGATTACTTATTCGTTCTTCCATTTCATCTATTCTGCTTTCATTGCTTTTCCCAGAGTTCTTTAGTTCCTCCATTAATTCTTTGATCTCCTGCATTTCTCTTACTTCCCTCTTTAGGGACTCAATTTCCTTCTTCTGATCTATCACTTTTTTAATCATGGCAATTTTAAATTCTCTTTCTGGAAGGCTCAGAAGTTCTTCCAAGTTGCTGTCGTTGCAATCTGGGGAGTGGTTTTCTTTTTGTGGTGTGCTTCTTTCCTGAGGAGTTTTTAGGTTGCGTGTGGTTCTTCTACTCCCTACTGTCTGTTTTCTAATTTGTCGTATGCGTTGGGACACTGTGTTGCTCGGACTGACTGACATCTTGGGTGAACTTCTCCGCTCCCCTCTGGCTCTTCCAGGAGCCATCTCTGTCTTCTGGGGGAGCTTTCTGCTGGTTTTAGGCAGTTTTTACTGAAGAAATGTCCCTGTTCTCAAATGGCGAAGCGGGATGCAGTCCCTGCGCCTCCGGTTTCAGGCACACTCTTCTGCGCACCCGGTCTGCCCCGGACGTGGGTGCCTGCTCCCTCTGTGGGCTCAGACTGCTGGTTGGAAGGGGCCTGGCATGAATAACTTCCCGGCTGGCCACTGGGTCCTCCAGAAACCTTCTGCCCTTTTCAAGCAGTCTTAAGAAATGTCCTGTTTTATAGGGTGTTAGTGACTTTTTTTTTGCTGGTCGCTAGGTGGCGCCAGAGATCTCTCCTATTGTCCTTGGGGGGCTGTTTTTCGCCCCCCCCACCCCGTGGGACAGGGAACAGAGTGGGAATGGTAGGGTACACCTCAACAGCTTTGGGGTGCTGTGTCTGCCTTGTGCCCCACCGTCGTGGAGAACCCACGCCCCGAATTTTCGTGCCCCGGGTCTCAGTTCAAAGCCCTCAGTTCCAGGACGCGGGCTGTAGCCCAGTTCAGTGGCGCGGGAATGGCGCCTTTTGCACAGCTCCCGTGCCTGGGCGCCTGGTTCCTGCTCACTCAGGGAGGGACCTTCACCTCAGTGAGGACATCAGTGCGTCTCCCCGCAAGCCTAGGTCGCAGGCGCGGAGACCTGGGCAGCCGCGATCCAGGTCTGCACTTGCTTTTCAAGCGCGCATAGCGCGCCGCTTTCCCGCGCCAGCTTACCAGCAGCCCGGGCTGTGTGCGTGTCTCCCGGGGTCTTTGTTCTTCTCTAATGGCGCCCGGAGCCGTTCGCTCACCGCCGTGGCGGATCCTGCAGGGTTCGCCTCAGCTCCCGTTCACGGGGTGTGGTGGCTGCAATAGTTCCTTTCCACTCACAGTCCCGCTTGCTGCGTCCTTTGTTCTTGTTGGCCGTTTTGGTTTGTTGTTTCCTCCTCTCTGCCGGTTGGAGAGTGCCCCTCTATGGGCGGGGGAGGGGAGCAGGGTTCTGCGCTTCCCTCCCTTCTCGTCCTCTTTTATGGCCACTTTCTTCTTCGGGCAGTTCGCTGGCGTCACCCGTTTATCTTCCGTGTCCCACTTCTCACTGGGACCTGCCGCTTTTCCTCCCTATTAACTTTTTTTAATGGGAGATCTTACTCACAGCGTCTCCTCGCCGCCATGTTGCTCCGCCCCTCTTTCAGTAATCTCTTTAAAGACTCATCACCCAAGCAAATAAAGTCAAGGAAAAGATAAACACCTGGGATTACATCAAACTGAAAAGCTTCTGTACAGCAAAAGAGACATTAACAAAAACAAAGAGACACCCCACTGATTGGGAAAAAAATCTTTGCATTACATTTAACTGTTAAGGGACTGATCACAAAGATATATAACAAACTCACATGACGCAACAAAAACAAAGTAAACAATCCAGTCAAGAAATGTGCAGAAGAACCTAATAGACATTTCTCCATATAGGAAATGCCAATGGTCAACAGATGTATGAAAAAATGTTTAGCATCCCTTATAATCAGGAAAATGCAAATCAAAACCACATTGAGATACCACCTTACACCAGTAAGAATGACACATATCAAAAAAAAAAAAAAAAGCAAACAAAAACTAGCAACAACAAATGTTGATGAGAATGTGGTGAAAAAGGTACTCTCCTACATTGCTGGTGGGAGTGCAAACTGGTCCATCCAACATGGATAAAACTAGAAGGAATTATGCTCAGTGAAATAATTCAGAAGGAAGAAGAAAATATTGGATGGTATCACTTACAGAAGGAACATAGGGGAACCAAATAAAACATAAGTGTAAAAAAATAATAACAATATAAAACACAACAAAACAACACCAGACAATTATAAATCAGAGACATCCTGCAGAGGAGGAGGAGGGAAAGGTTTCAAAGAGAGGGAAGGAGGAGCACAAGGGAATTTTGGTAATGGTGCATAGATGCATTGTTGAAGGAAATTCTATGGGGATTACACCTGAGGGGAGGGGAAGCATACATTGTTTAAAAATGAACAATGATGTAAAAATAAATAAATAAATAAATAAATAGAAATATAAGAATGTTTATTTTATAAATTTCCTTTTTAAAAAAGTTCTATCACACTATCACATCACATGTTCTTATTAATCCACCCACATCATCTTCATTAATTCATTATCAAGCATCTATTATTCTCTGTGCTGGAAACTCCAAGTAATATAAATGAGTGAATAAGTTGCAGTCCCTTTTCAAAAGAAGTACTGGGTAGAAATTAAAGTAGTCATAGACATTATACATGCATTTTATTATTAGGTAATCAATAGTTATAAGTCTTATATATTAAAATTCAGTCAGGTAAATACTATCTTCTACTTAATTTTGTATGACTATGGGCTTCTGTGAAAAGAGTTTCTGTGAACCTTTCTGTGAGGTTTAATTTGTAATTTTGAGTATATCTATGTGTAACTTTCCCAGGCCACACTCTATCTCTGAATAGTGAAACAATTGTAAATGTACAAAGCTCTTTTTCTATGTAAAGTAAAGCATGTCTACTATTACCTCTCAGAGGACTAAAAAGTTATAATGAGAGTAAAGAAATATTATGTTAAAAAAAAAAAAAAAAAGTTCTATCACATATGTCATTTTTATAATCTGAATTTATTTCAATATAATTGAAATATTTGTTCTTATTGCACTCAGATCTGTCTCATTATAACATATATTCATTCAATAACAGTCACATAATACAATTAATTTGAGTTCCTTCTCTTACCTTCCCTCCCTTTTTTATTTGTCACATAGTTACCTGTTATTACCTGAAACTCCCATTAGCTGTGAACCCTGCCTACTCACCATCATTGTACACAGTTCCCTCATAGTCTTTCTCATAAAAGACTCCATGAGGCTGTATGCTGAATGGCTGAGAGGCACGGTTGTAGAATATCACCAGGATAGTGTCACCCACCTCAGCCCGGATCACTGGGCCTGGAAAAGAGAAGAAGAGACAATAGGAATTAAAACAGGGATGACAGGGAGTATGGAAATGGGGGGAAAGAAAGGAAAAGCAAAGATAAGTGGAAGATAGAGAAAACTTAAATTTGCATAATAATGATTATCTTTTCTAAGTATAATGCAATTTACAGTAATAAAAAACAGTTTAAAATCCATTATCTCATTTTGATCTTCAAACATGATCCCAAAGTAAAAAGAGCAGGGAATATAATTATTTTAAATTTGAGAAAATTACATTTCAGAGAGGTACAACTGATCTGCCCAAATTCAAATGATAGCTAGGACTTGAAGTCAGGACTTTCTTCCACCCCATTGTTGAGTCCAATCTCATTTCCACTACTTTCATTCCTTCAGTTCCTATTTCTGGGTAGAATCCATCAAAATATCTAAGCTTGCCTAAATCCTAAACCAATTTTGAGGAGGAATAATTATTATATCATATATCTGGGCCTTGGGCCAGGTAGCCTAGCCATGACTCCTGGAACTTTTATTTATTCCCTTCCCACCACATTCAACATAGTTTAGGTGATTTTAAGACCAGTCAGACGTACCAAGGTAATACCCTAAGTGCTATTCTGGCTCCAACCACACTTCCAAGTTTCTGACTTTTTTCTACTCAATTTGTATATCTAGTTTCCCACCTCTGCTCAAAGACTAGGGGGACCATTATTCCACTCACAATAATAAAATATAACAACCAGAAAAAAGATAAATAAGGAAATGGAAGATTTAAACATTTCAATAGACACACTGTATCTAACATATACAGAATACTTTCCAACCACAGCAGAATTCATATTCTTCCCAAATTCACGTGTAACACTTTCCCAGATAGACCATATGTTAGACCATCAATTGTCAAAAAATAAAATAAAATTAAATAAATATGACCCTAAAAAATATATATCATATAAATTATCTTCTCCAATTACATTGAGATGAAGAGTTAGAAATAAAAAACTGAAGGAAACAGAAAAGTCATAAAATTGTGGAAATTAAACAACACACTTTTAAACAACCAATGGATCAAAGAAGAAATCACAAGGGAAATTAGAAAATACATAGAGCAAATGAAAATGAAAACACAACATACCAAAATTTATCAGATTCATTGACAGTGGTGATAAAAGGATATTTTATAGTTACAAACACTTGCATTAAAAACAAAAACACCGGGCCTCCCCAGTGGCGCAGCAGTTGAGTGCTGGGTTGTGAAGCTGCCCGCAGCCTCTGCAGCGCCAGTTCAATTACCAGCCGCTGGATGAGGGTCCCACATGGCACACAGACCTCTCCTGCCGCCCACTGCTCCCCTCAGCAGTGTATTTCATTGGTCTGCCTGTTCTGTTCCCGCTGAGGCTCTGGTGAATTCTCTCACCCTCCTGCATTTCTGACTGTACCCAGTGCTTGTATAAATAAATACATAAATCTTTTAAAAAAATAAAATAAAGTCAAGCCAGAAGGAAAAAAAAAAGAGAAAAGGAAAAAATAATAAAGGTTATGTTTTGATTGTATACATTGTAATACTGAACTAAGCCAGTGCCTTCATAGACATCAAATGTTTGTTGTTTCTGCTGTTTTCTGATGTTTATGGCAAAGCTTCCCAGAAATCTAAATTCAAGTAAAAATTGGGTAGTCTGTCGTTCGGTTGATATAAGGAAATTTTATGGAACCTCAGTAGATAGCCTGAGACACTCTACAAGATTACTCCCTTTTCTCTTAGGAAAGCCATTAGATGAATCAGTCCTATTTGGCTTACCTAGTTCAGTAAAACTAGAAGGGAAGCACTGTCACTTGGGAAAATGGGTAACACTTTGACATGTGCAGAAATGTTCACATTGGTTTTCTAAAATGTATATACAACCTCTCAATACCTGATATGCATTTAAATTGTCAATGGTGATTGTTGCCTTGCAATATTATATAGTACAGAAATTGTTCCTGGAGAAAATAGGGAGAAAAGACCTCAACAGATTCCTATTGATGGAAGTGTTGAGAGTAAAAATTTCCTACAAAGAACTGACTAGACTTGGAAATACACCTGATTTTTACTAAGTTTTCTTTGACAATAGTGATATTATTTTTGCATTTTGTTCTGAATTCATAAAATTTTCTTGTTTTGAGTGACCAGGATCTACAGCAATGTTGTATTTTTTTCTAGCAAAGCTTACTTGTGTTCACATTTTCTCTCCCCTTGATACCAACACAGCATGAAAATAGTGGTAGTAATTTTTTTGCTACTTATCTCGGAGTCTATTTTTGCATAACTTCCATAGGGATTTTGTCTGCTTAAACTAAAACAATTGGACACGAGGGTCATTGTGTGGCTTTGAATGGAATCTTCCAGGAAGTTGAAACACAGCTGAACCAAGAGGAGAACCTGTTGCTTTGTCCGCAGGTTCCAAGACCTCCAAGGGAGGTGAGGAAGCTGCCTCCATGGGCAGTAGTGGACAACCCAGAAAAAGAAAAACCCTGGTACCCTCAAGAAGAGGAAACCCAGGTGGAGTCTGATGAGACCAACTTTGTTCTTGAAGCCTACATGGACTGGTGGTGTCAAGAGTTGACTCTAATCCTTAATGGAGTATTCCAACAAAGCCAGCTAAAATTGCTGTTTAGTTACTCTGCCCTGTGATTTTATGCAAAAATAGGTAATATGGTTTAAAAGTTGATTTTGTTTGCAAACTTTTGCTATGCTGTTGGAACATTTGGGATCAAGGTTGAGAGAACCTATTTTTGCATAAGTTGAATCAATTTTAATATTTTTCCTGTGATTCGATATCTCTGCTGGTTTGTTTTGGCTAATGCCTCCAGATGTTTTTTTTTTTTTTTTTTGATTGTTTTTTTTTTTTTTTTGTTTTTTTTTTTTTTTGTCTTGGACTGATAAACTATTTCCCAGGAATGGAGGACTTTTGCTTTCCACAATGGGCAATACCTGGAAAGACTGGTTTGCTTTCCAATGGGATCCCTGAGAAAAATTTTCATCTGTGACTGTGCCCCAGCATCCATACATTTGATATTCAACACCACAGAAATGATGGAAAAAAATGAAGCTAATTCCATACAGGCTTTGTGGATGCCACCCCCACTCCATCAAGACACTGGTAACTACAAATCCCCAAAGGGAAGTGGCAAGGACCTCAGAGCAGAGTTAAGCAGCCATTTTCTCTATTTTTAAATTAAAAAAAAACATCCATGTTACTGGGGTCAGGAACACTTAGTTTGTTCTCTTGGCCAGGCAGGTTTGGTCACGGCAGGTCACTTGGGATTCTAGGTCGATGGAACAGGTAGGAGACATTTAAGAATTTATCTCCCTCGTTTCTCCCTAAGTTGTACATTTCCTCATTCCCCTTCCTTTGTAAATAAAACTTTTGTTAACTTTTAAAATAAAATAAAAGTTACTGGTTTATAGTTGCTTGTTGATCTTGATTTTTTTCTTTTTTATAGTTATTCTTTTTCCTGGTCTATCCTAATTGAAAGAAGCCACACAGAGAAAAGCAAACAGCATATAATTTGATGCATTTGTGGTATACAGAGAAAACAAATAAACAGATAAAGTAAATAAGAAAAAAAAACAAAAAAACAAAAGAAAAGAAAAATGAATGAAATCAAAAGTTGGCTCTTCAAAAAAGACCAAAAACAGGCCAATAAAATCAACAAATCTTTAGGTAGATGGACTAAAAGAAAATAATACTCAAATTTTATTTTTTTCAATTTTTTAAAGATTTATTCATTCATGCATATAAGAACTGGGGTATAGGCCAGAGATGCAGGGGGTGAGAGGATTCACCAGAGACAGAGTGGGGAACAGAACAGGCAGAATGATTGAAATACATTGGCTAAGGGGAACAGTGGGTGAGACAGGAGTGGTCTGCTGCACCATGTGGGTAGCTCCCTGGCTGGGGATCAAACTCGTGCTTTGGTGGCTGTGGATAGCTTCATAGGTTGTGTCTTAACATCCTGTGCTGCCAGGGAGGCCCCATTAAATTTTTAAAAAACAGAAATGAAAGTGGGGACACTACTGCCAATTTCATAAAAATAGATTATAAGAGAATAGTACTATGACTAATTTTGTGCTAGAAACTGCATATACTTGATGAAATGCATAAATTCATAAAATAAGCAACCTATCAAGACTAAATCATAAATAAATAGAAAATGTAGATAAAAATGTAACTAGTAAAGTAATTGAATTAATAATCAAAAATCTCCCAACAAAGATAAGCCATTAATCTGATGGGTTCAGTGGTTAATTATACTAAATATTTAAATAGCTTATACCAATTTTTCTCAAACATTTACTTTTTTAATTGAAGATGTCAAATACTTTTCAACTCATTCTTTGATGTCAGCATTACCCTGATACCAAAGTCACACAAATGTATTACAAGAAAAGAAAACTATAGGCAAATACCCCTTATGAATTTTGATGTAAAAAATTCTCAACAAAATAGTTGCAAACTGAATTCAGCAACATATTAAAATAATGAACAACTTGACCAAGTGTAATTTATTACTGGAATGCAAAGATAGTTTAGCATATGAAAATTGATCAAAGTAATACACCACATTAACAGAAATAAGGGGTAAACAGCACATGAGCTTCTCAACTGATGCAGGGAAATCTTGAAACAAAATTCAACATCCTTTCATAATAGAAAGATTTTTAGATCTATGTATAAAAGGAGATTAGCTCAACCTAATAAAAGCAATATTTCAAAAATCCACAGTGAATATCATACCCAGTAATTAAAGACACAAAGCTTTATCTCTGAGATCAGGAATAAGGAAAAGATGTTGGATTCCAAAACTTCTAGTCAACATAATACTGGAAATTTTAGCCAGAGAAATGAAAGAAAATAAATAAAATTATTCCAAATTTAAATAAAAGTAAAATTATCTCTGTTTGCAGAAGATACAATCTTACTAGAGCCCCTAAAAAGTCTTCATCAGAAAAAACTATTAGAAGTAATAAATTA